AAGGTGAATTTTCTCTTCTCGGTAACTTGGAAAAAAAAAGAGAAGCATTTATTGATGCTAATTGAAGAGATTTGGGTAGGCCAATGATGCACATGTTTCTAATAATACATCGAACATTGCAACAAAAAAAATAATACATTAAACATTGATGGTTTGCAAATCGGATTTAGGAATTTTGGTGTGATTTCCAAGGTGCCCTCATTATTGTCAATATGAGGGTTCCCTGGTTGCGAAAGCTGTTAGGTTAAGCTGCATTGACCGAGCCCATATCTCATACATGGCCGGTTCTATTTTTATGGTCGGTCATCACTTAATGTGTAATCTTAGAAGCATTTGTTGAAAGAAATACTTTATAAAAGTAAAATTAAATCGAGCCTTAGTCCCATATTGAGATGTGTAATGTCAAATTACATTGGGAGTGTATTGGAACAACTTTTATTGAAAGATAATTCTATCACGCTTCAGAGAAACTATCTACCTTCATTTGTAAGTAATTTGGCAACTCGTGATCGAAATCATATCATTGGTTTTCACCAAACATGGTGATGAGGGTGGATTTGGCCCACCAATGACATTATGACACCTGACAGTCTCTTGGTAATTAAGTGCAGCCTCTTGACAACTAGGCAACTCGCTATAGGTAGTTCGTCATAGGCAGTTCGCTACAGGTAGCCCACCATCTTGTAGCCTAGCAACTCAGAACAACTAGGTGACACCCGGGACCACTTTGGCAACAACATGCCTTTGCTAAGATGATGGTGTCCCACAGGCACGGCCTGGCACAGGCGCGGCCTGGCACATGCGCGACCTGGTGGCCTAGCCCCTGGCACGAGCTGGAAGCCTAGCCCTAGCACGAGCTGGTAGCCTGGCCTTGACACAAGCTAGCAGCCTGGCCTTGACACGAGCTGGCAGCCTAACCCTGGCGCGACCTGGCCCTGGCACGAGCTGGCGGCCTAGCCCAGGCATCGTCTTGGCGGCCTGACACAAGAGCCAACCTGACAACCTCGAGGAGCTCACCACCGTACCCCGCATTTTACGGAATTGTGACTTGTAATGGCTATATTAGCTCACCCACTCCCCGATTCTGACGAGAAGGGACAATTTTACCGTTTGATGGCATTTCACCCACCTAACATGCAAGTCAGTCCCATCACAGTTGGGATCCAAAAACTGCTCCACCTAAACGACTCCAGTATATAAAGACCTCACCCCCCAAAGGCAAAGAGGGAAAAAAAAAGGATGGTAACCCCTACTCTCTAGCTCTCTCATTCTCTAATATCATCTTCAAGCTCTCTACTATCAAAGTGCTAACTTAACCATCGGAGTGACCTCGCCGGGTAAACACCCCCGGGTTCTCTGATTCTGTTCTTGTAGGTCCATCAGCTCCCGCCATCTACAAAGATGAGATGATCATCTCCTGCAAGGAGCGGTCGGGTTTCACCACCAAGCAGCTCATCAAGGCAGCTCACCACAAGGCAATTAGCCACCAGGTAGCTCACCACCAGGCAGCTCACCACTAGGGAGCTCGACATCAAGGTAACTCACCACCAGGCAGCCCGGCACCAGGCAGTTCGCCACTAGGTAGCTCGCCACCAGGCAGCTCGCCACCAAGGAACTCCACTTCAGCCTCTGAGTCACCGACCACATGAGAGTAGCCGAGATGATGAGGTACTTAGCCAAACAATTGACACATCACGAAAAAATGATACGTGACCGGAAACGGTTACATCAATTGGTGTCGTCTGTGGGAATAACGCTACAAAAAGCTAAGTTCTTATCTTACAAAAAGCTAAGTCCTCTTCTCCCGGAAAGCTAAGTCCTCACCTTTTTAGAAATTGAAGCTCTCGCTTTATATTTTCCATTTTTTATCAACTCAAAGACTGTGTAGGGAGCTAACAGACAAAGTAGCTCTAAGACACCCACCCAGCGGCCTGGGCGCAGCCTGTGCGCGGCCTGGCAGCCTGGCACTTGCCCCGACCTGGCGCGATTTGGCACAGGCGCCGACCTGGTGGCCTGGCCCAGGCGCGAACTAACGAACTGAAAAGGCACCAGCCTTAGAAACAAGTAAGCAAGCTCTAGCTCTCAGATTGTGATTTCTACCTCGCAGTCTACTATGAGAGTACTAACTTAGCCATCGGAGTGACCTCACTGGGTTAGCCACCCCGGGTCCTCTGACATTTAGTTCCTAGCAGGTCTCTAAGGAGTAACAAAATTCAGGAGCAGATTACGGGTCCCTCCCAAAGCCTAAGGGCCACAAGAAGACTCAATTGCCACTTCGACGTGGGCGAAATTCAGGAGTGGACTACGGGTCCCTCCTAAAGCTTAAGGGCCACAAGACCCAGTCGCCTCTACGGCATGGGCAATAATACTGCTGAAAGACCCAATCGCCTCTACGGCATGGGCAACACTACTACTGAAAGACCCAATCGCCTCTACAGCATGGGCAACACTACTGCTGAAAGACCCATGGGCAACACTACTGTTGAAAGACCCAATTACCTCTACGGCATGGGCAACGCTACTACTGAAAGACCCAGACGCCTCTATGGCTTGGGCAACACTACTGCTGAAAGACCCAGTCGCCTCTACGGCATGGACAACACTACTGCTTAAGACCCAATCGCCTCTACGGCATGGGCAACACTGCCGCACAAGAGCCAGCCGCCTCGTCGGCATGGACAAAGTCAACAAGAGTGGACTATAAGTCACTCCCAGAACCTAAGGGCTAAAGTACCAAACTAGCAGAGACCTCAGCACCTTGCGGGCAGCTCGCTTCCAAGCAGCTCCTAGAGCCAAGGAAATTGAATCAGTGCTTACAAGCTCGTCGAATTATGGGCCAAAAGGAGAAACCAACTCCCTTCGCCGAGTTACTTTCAGCACGGGAGTAGGGGGCAAATGATGAGAGCGGATTTGGCCCTCCAATGACATTATGACACTTGGTAGCCTCTTAGCAACTAAGTGCAGCCTCTTGACAACTAAGTAGCTCGCCACAGGCAACTCGCTATAGGCAGCTCGCTACAGGTAGCTCGCCACAGGCAGCTCACTACAGGTAGCCCACCATCTTGTAGCCTGGCAACTCAAAACAATTAGGTGACACCCAGGACCACTTTGGCAACAACTTGCCTTTGCTAAGAGTTGGCAGCCTGGCCCTGGCACGAGCTGGCAGCTTGGCCTTGATACAAACTAGCAGCCTGGCCTTGACACGAGCTAGCAGCCTGGCCTTGGCACGAGCTAGCAGCCTGACCCTGGCGCGACCTGGCCCTGGCACGAGCTGGCTGCCTGACACAAGCGCCAACCTAACAACCTCGAGGAGCTCACCATCGTACCCCGCATTTTACGGGATTGTGACTTGTAACGGCTATATTAGCTCACCCACTCCCTGGTTCTGACGAGAAGGGACAGTTTTACCGTTTGATGGCATTTCACCCACCTAACACGCAAGCCAGTCCCATCACAGTTGGGATCCAGGAACTGTTCCACCTAAACCACGAGGACTCCAGTATATAAAGACCTCACCCCCAGAGGCAAAGAGGAAAAAAAAGGATGGTAACCCCTGCTTTCTAGCTCTCTCATTCTCTAATATCATCTTCAAGCTCTCAACTATCAAAGTTCTAACTTAGCCATCGGAGTGACCTCGAGGGGTAAACACCCCCAGGTTCTCTGATTCAGTTCTTGCAGGTCCCTCAGCTCCCGCCGTCTACAAAGATGAGCTGATCATCTCCTGCAGGGAGCAGTTGGGTTTCACCACCAAGAAGCTCATCTAGGTAGCTCACCACAAGGTAGTTAGCCACCAGGTAGCTCACCACCAAGCAGCTCATCCAGAAAGCCAAGTAGCCCACCCGGTAGCTCACCTCCAGGCAACCTATCAAGGTAGCTCACCTCTAGGCAACCCATCAAGGTAGCTCACCACCAGACAACTCATCAAGGTAGCTCACCACTAGGGAGCTCGACATCAAGGTAGTTCACCACCAGGCAGCCCGGCACTAGGCAGTTCGCCACTAGGTAACTCGCCACCAGGGAGCTCCACTTCAGCCTCTGAGTCACCGACCACATGAGAGCAAACAAGATGATGAGGTACTTAGCCAAAACATTGACACATTACGAAAAAATGATACGTGACCAGAAACGATTACATCACATGGCATCACGATTTTTCATTTGGGGCCTAATGCCAGAAGCTGCTGTGTAAAAGCCCTCTCAAACGAGCATTAGGGTTGCAAATGGTATATGTCCCTGTTAATTTAATAAATAACCACTTGATTGGTTACCACTTATATATATGGTAGTGGTTGATTGGTTAAACCTTAAACGTTTCAGCTTCATAGTTAAGCTCTTTTGATTTGCCTATAATTGGATTAAATATGTATATATCCCAATTTGATCTGTTATAGTTCAATCTAATAATTTATATATGTATAATAAGTTCAATACAAAAAAGAAAAAGAAAAAGCATACAAGGTTAATTAAAATTAATGTGCATAAAGTTAGTTTAAATGAATGTTATATCTTCAGGTCTTACAAAAGTTATTCCAAGTCATTTTATTCATTATATACAATATATTTTTAGTTCTTTTTCTTAATATATATATATATATATATATATATATATATATATATCTATGTATATAATATTATATCTTGATAGTTTTTAGTTTATTTTATTATAGGTATTTTAGTATCCAAATTTGATCTGAATCTAATTTAACATTTGATTCGAATCCAAAAAATACTAATGCTTAGTTTGGAAGGAGTACAAATACAAATATGTACAGTATAAATACATACAAAATAATATAAAATACAAAGTTTTGCCCTCTTACCCCTTCCAAACTGAGCCTAATGAATCAAAATAAAAGCATATCCAATTGGATCAATTTGTTTGCAGCCCTATAGTAGAGATTCTGTTGTTACTTTTTTATCCCATTTTGTGTGCCATAAACAAAGATTTCACATTTTTACCAAAAAAAATAACAAAAAAAAGGTTTCATATGTTTGTAATTTAATTAGAAAGTAGAAAAGAGCTTGACTTGAAGTTGAAAATGCATATTACACATAATGCTCAATCAGATGGATAAAACTCAAACTGATTGGGAGACATTCATGGTGTGGGTCCTAATTTTTGGTACAAATAAAAAAAATGGAAAAAAGGGATTAATCTTGAATCCTTACATAGCTTATTTCTCATCTAATCTCTCTACTTGAACAAGTAGCATACAATTAATCCAGCTAGTTCTTCAAGCTGCCTAACCTCCAGCCATGTCTGACCCAATAAGCTGCCCAGAATTGAGAAGCTAGGGTCACCCCATGAAGAAGATTGCTGAGATTTATTCTGGTTGATTAAACATCCCCTTCCCGAGAGAGAGAAAGAGAGAACAGTCATGTAAAGATGACAACAAGGGCCCATCCTAGAACATTTAGAAGTAAAACAGTATTCCTCATAGTGGAACTTTTAGCTTGTGTTTTGCTATCTGAACCTTTCTCCTCCTCTTCTTCTTCACTCTCCGAACTTGTGCCTTTGGACGTGGGAAAACAAACAGAAAGATAAAAGGTTAGTGAATGGCCATGCAGATAATGGTCCACAAAGAGAAACAGAAAGTTTTGGGTGAAGTTCTTAAGAACTTTCCAACTTAATTTCTGCCTTTTTCTCTTACTTTCTATCGGATGAAACAATTCCTATACATATCCAGCATCATAATTAAGCTGCACTCACCTGTAGCAAAATTTAAAGTTGTGGAGGTCTCTGATCGGTGCTCCGACAATAAGTAGTCTGAAGAAGATGGAAACTTGTTTTTGGGGCCAACCGCATATATCAACTTAGACTTTGGTTGATCAGTAGTGTTGAGTTGGAAGGCAAGGAACAAACGATTCGACTGAGACACAATGCTCATATTCTTAATACTGAGTTCCCCTTTGTCTGGCAAACAGGTTGATGGACGAGTCCCTTCCAGAGAATACTGCTTAATCGCTCCTTTGCCACTGCCAGAGGGAACCCAACCCACTATTGAGCTAGACCCAACCATCTTACCATCAGGGGAGAACCCAATTCCTACATACGAATTCGTGTTTGGTGCTGAGAGGATGAAATTCCATAGGCTTGGTCCAAGCTGTTGATACTGAAAAAAATAAATAAATAATCCTCCGATATGTTAGTTATACAGCAGTAGAAAGAACTTAAATCAAAGTATATATGGACTTATGGAGGGAGGTGATAATAAGGAATTTAATTACTCTGAGGATGAAGTCTTCAGAACTCCAGACTGATACGCATTTAAGTGAAGTTGCGTTGAAGGTAATGCCGGGGAGAGTGAAGTTCGAACTGCACGAATCTGACTGTGAATCTTCTGAAGAAGAAAAGCCAAGGAAATAAAAGAAGAGTATGACAACTAAAGAGGTCTTCATCTCTCTCTCTCAAAACTCAATAGCTCTTTTTTCTCCTTCTCCGTGGGTTTTAGTTCGGACTGGTGCTCACTGCTCAGTATAAATAGAGAAGCTGTTTGAATTAATTATCTCCTTCCTCCTGATGTTACCATAAAAAAAAAAGAGAATTAATTATCTTCTAAATTAGGATCCTACAAGTACAAAAGTTGGAGTAAGAAGTTATCTAAATCCAATTCCTGGGTCCATGGTGGGCCCCACAAGCTTTTTTTTTTTTTTAAGATACTGGGTCTCCTTAAAGTGTAAGATGCACTTTCAATCGATGCCAAAAACATTAAAATAAAAGCAAAAAAGAAAAAAAAAATTATTTTCCTTATTAGCAATGCCTTATTACATGGCCTTTAATTAGCAATCTTTATTTATAAGAAAAATTATTAGATATATAGATAAGTTAACAAATATAACGTTGATGAATGAATTAATTGATGGTGTTTTATTTTATTTTATTTTCTTCTTGATTTTGGCTCGACAAATCGAATGGATGTTTCTGTTTCCATTTCTACCATTATCCATTTGAATTAACCCTCCCTCCGCAATAATGCTTTAGATCCTATTATCACCAACAATACAAGTTGGGCCCAGAAATAAATTATGGTGGATCCTTCTTCCTTAATTCAAACAATTCAATCAATTGATAGACGTCAAAATTGCAAGAAAATAAAAATCTATTCAGGTAACACACCCAAGTCCTAGCAAATTAAGGCCCTGTTTGATTTGCAGGAATAGGAGTTTGGAATTGAAATTGGAATGGGCTATTCTGATTTTAATTGTTTGGTTGGGTGGAATCGAAATTTCATTCCCATTTGAGGGAATGGCCATTCCCTACCCCTCCCTTGGGAATGAAATCTCATTCCTCTTGATTCCAATTTTCATTCTCATTTGTGTCTGAATCAAACAGACTATGAGAATAGACCATTTCAATTCTGATTCTAAAGGATTTCGATTTTGATTACAACTACGAACCAAACAGACCCTAAGTTTTTAGGTTGAATGGATCTTTGAAACTTATTAAAGCCTATGACCAAGTGGTTTAGTGTTCGTTCCTATTATAATTAATCAGCAAAGATATGGGTGGATTTTTACTTGTTCATACTTCAAGCTCAATATGCTTTCATATGAAGGGGCTTGTTAGAGCATAAAAAACCACACCCAAGGTCTTAAAAACAGATTCATAACTAAAATCGTTCTAGCCACCTATTTCCAGATTGATGTTTCAACCATCTGTTTTGAACAGATAACACATTCCAATTAAAATATAAAATAAATTAAAATAAAAAAACAGTCAAAAACCATTAAATGGGTTGAAAAGATTAATGATTCAACCACTCGGATCAGCAGTTCACTGACAAATTTAACAGTTTTTGGCGAAGAACCAGATCTGAGGTAAAACAGAATGAATTGCTTGAATGATTCCCAGGCCGAACGGTCCAACCGTCTAAATCAACAGCGGTTTAAAAACACTGTAACCTATTCATAGACCTCACATCAACTGATGACGGTTCCTCAATCTTCTGGATTAATCATGTGTTCTTTCCTTGTCAAATTGAAAATTGAAAACTTCATTTAAAAGGATTCTTAGAATTAAAGAAAAAAGGCATGCAGAAGAACAGATCGGACTTCCCAAAGGGGCATGATACAACGTATCAAGTATTGTTTACTGAACTGAACCTTCTGCATTGATCGCACATCATGTGCATATAGATCATTTTTAAGTAGCTCTGTTGGTTGAAAACTTAATTAAATCTTCTATTGAAATAATTCAAACAAACGCAGGTATGTAACCACTAATACACGACTTATCACATGGCTTGCTGACTAATCGCCTTATATATCCATGCACGTAGACTCTAAGCAACTCTTTTTATATAAAAAAAAGCTAACTCTTGATATTTTTTTTCTTTTCAGTCATCATTTAGTTTTGATGTTATTTCATCATTTAATTGTTTTGATACATTAATCCAAAAAATTCCCTGTTGATTTTACTCTGTCTCATGGTGAATGCAAACTATATATATCAATTTCTATTCTTATTTTTTATTTAGGTTCAGTTTGGAAGGAATATAAATGCAAATATGTAGAATGTAAAATTTAGTATACTCTACATATTTGCATTTATACTCTTTCCAAACTGGGCCTTAGGGTATAACAATAATGAATGTACCTAGTACCTATACCAATTTCTTCAACTTTTTTTTCCACATATATCAACTTCTCTTTGAAATAAGACTTTAATCCCTATTACCTACTAACCAATAATACAAGTTAGATCTTAGATGTAGAAACATAAAAAGGAGGATTCCTTATGGCCATGTTCCTTTTTCAAATGAATTGGATCATACAGCAATTGCCTTACACTATTAACTTGACCTTCTAAATTAGCTACCTATATTTATTGCCTTTCTTCACATGGGTTGTCTACATTGCGTGCTAAATCCTTCTTTCCTTTTCTTTATCCCAATTGTTTTGAAGCTCCGTAACATATACCTAGGTCCCATTCGTTTTTCAGCAAATTATTTATTCGGATAAGTATATTTACCTATATTCTTTTATTTGTTAAGTAAACAATAAAATAATTATTTTATTCATAAAAGTTATTATTAAAAAAAATAATTTTGTCCTATTAAGAATCAAAATCTAAAAAAGAACGGACCCCTAAAAGCAACCTCTCTCAACATTTCTTCAGGGCATCACAAACTTACCTTCTCAGTCCTCCGGCCAGACGGTGGAATTTTGCACTGAATCAAGGGATCACAGTTGACAAAGTGGCTTAAGAATAAAACACATGGAATCCTTTAGAACCATAACATAAGCTAGGCAATGAGCAAGAGTGGTAATAATTAGCTAATACTAAAGCTCGTGGTTGTTAGATGCTTTCTCGTATTTTATGATATCCTTTGGCTAGTTCTACAGATGGATGATTAGTAAGCACCAACTTTAATTTTTTTTACAGGCCCGAGAAAGTCAGAAGGGTTAGGAGTTCACATCTGCACCCCAAAAGTAACTCCCAACCATGTATTTGGAACTTCTTCGAATGACAATTACAGGAGATATTTTTAATACACAGTTGGATGTACTGTAGGGTGCAGACGTGAATTCGATGTTTAGATTATGGTTTTCAAAATTAGACTGGATTGGATGGTCGGACTGAAAAAATTGGGAATCGGTCAGGTGATCAGTTCCATTTTATCCCAAAACTATTATTTTATAAAAAAAAAAAACATTGATTTGGTCAGCAAATAGTTGATCCGGGTGGTTGAACCATTCAGAGGTTTTGACCATTTTTTAATTTTTTTCAATTTTTTGTCAGAATAGGCCATTCGTTTGATTCGAATGGTCGGACTATTCGACCTGTGAATCAGACCCATGACCAATTCATTGTCTGATTCGATTTTAAAAACTTTGGTTTAGACCAAACCATTATTCTAGAAATATTACACCCAAATTTTGTTAAGGTATGAACCACACAATTGCCTGTACGTGGGATAAATGAGACGAGTTCATATCTGCGCCCCACAAAAGGGTGCCCCACAGCACATCCCAACCTTGTGTTAGGAACATCTCTCAATGACATCTCATCATCTCTGAACTTGTCATCAAGAAGTGTTCCCAATACAAGGTCGAGATGTGCTGTGGGGCACCCCCTTGTGGGGTGCAGATCTGAACTCAAAGGAGGCATGAGATGTAAGAAATGAACACAAAAGTTCCTTGCAATCTGCGATAATGAGAAGCACAATTATTGAATAGAGACAACTGAATTTCTTTATATAATAGTCTTTTGTTAATGGTGTGGGGCTATTATTCTACATCTTGGCATGTGGAGTCCAGAAGCCCCTCAAATTTTTTATGAGCAGTTTCGCCCAGCTCTAAGTTATTTATCGACTATTTTGTTGTTTTAAGCTAAAGAAAATTATAAAAGAGTTGATTTTCTGTTTTCTCTTTGTTGAATTCTTTAATTGTTTAAGAAAGTACTTCACAGTACGGGCAGCAGTCCCAAATTGGGAGATGAAATGTTTATTTTGTGCATCATTTTTAGGGCCATTTAGTACCCCTTATTTTGTGTATTTACTAAAACTTACCTTTTAATTTGCATATTATTAAAGAGTAAGGTTTAGCTTAACGCTTTATTTGTTCATTAGGTTGTGGAATCAATGGTAATGTTTCACATCAGTATTTAAAATACAAGGGGCCTGCATCTTTTACAATAGGGCTCATGAATTTATTATTGACATGGAACCTCATCATTGTTTCCACAGCCCACTGAACAGGTAAAGTGTTCAGCTAATCTGAATTCATTGTTAAAACACCCCTATACTTTGGAATCATATTATTTAGTGAAATCTTCCCTGAAGTTTATGATTGTTGCTAAAACCTTTCCTGATGTTTGGTAATTGCAAGCACGTCGCTTGAACTTTCTGACATAGTTGCAAGTAGATCATCTTTGTTGGAATCTTCTAAACAGAGGCATGAAAATGTCCAAAATATCCATGCAGTAACTTTTAACCAAAATGTTTATTTTCCAAATTTTCTCTTCAATGAATTGCTAGCCAAAACCCTTCCAATCTCTTTTATGAAATTGATTTATTTTCCAAATTTCCCTTCTGATTAATCACTCAAATGTAAAGTTGCAACTTTAAATTCTCTATTTTTTTGTTGTTTATAAAGTTTGTATTGTTTTTTTTTTTTTTCTAGAAAACAACCTCAATAGTAATTGCATGGGTATTTTAGACATTTTCATCCCTTTTGTCGGAGGATTCTAACAGAGGGGGTCTATTGCAATTATGTCAGAAAGTTCAAGGGAGGTGATTGTAATTACCAAACTTTAGGGGAAGTTTCAGCAATGGTCAAAAACATCAAGGGAGGTTTCAACATTACCCTATTATTTATTATTGGTTTACTTATAGACAAAAGTATTAAATGACAATTTTGACCTTAATGTTCATTCGATCAAAACTATACTATTATTAAAATGAGAGTGTGGAACATTTGTTTGACTAAAATACCCCAATTTTTGAATTTGATCCCTCTTTCATTTTTAAGACAAATGTAATTTGAACAACCACTTTTCCTCATTCCAATCCCTTTCAATATCTTGTATTTTAGGTATTAATTCCAATTAGCATTCATTAAATCCTTCTCTTGCCTAGAATACCCTTAATTGAATTTAGTCCCTCTCTAATTGTAAGGACACAATATAATTTGAACTACTACATTTATCATCATTCAATTCCCTCTCATTAAGTCTTATATTTAGGGTATTAATTCTCATTCTTTCATTGAATCCTATATTAATTAACTGTATTAAATAAAAAAAGTGTGACAAAGAATAATTGTTTTTATTAATGATAGAAACAAAATATAAATTTAAAATCAGCCCAAAAGTTAAGATGTTTTCTTGTTCGGTGACAAGCCAACAATTCAACATTCTGGGTCAAAATGTGTCAACCCTTGATGTTACAATTAAATAATAATAAAAATTAAAAAAAAAAGATAAAGACACAAAAAATATAAAAAAAATACAAAAAATTGTAGAAAACATTTGGTCACATCTCTAATATCATATATTTATCATATTAAACAAAAATAAGTATGAAAATAAGAATAATTTTTATAGCTATATAAATATATAAAAAATTTTTGAAACATATTATTTACCATCATCATCATACAAAAGTTACCACGTACAAAGCACATGTACACTTACTAATTAATAAAAGAAGAAAAAAACATTTTCCATGTCAAACTGTTAATGCACTCCACTGAGGTTTACAAATAACAGCAACATAACATCAAAAAATAAATAAATAAAACAAAACAAAATATAGTATCAAATTTCAAACCTGAATCTATCTGGTCTGAATATCAATGAATGCTATGGCCGAATGAGTAATAATGAGATAAAATAAATCACAAATATTACCTCTAGACGCCATTTCCCCATAGTTGAATCTCTTCAAGTCGGCCTCTCCTCGTATCTTGAACCCTTAATAGGCAGTTGAGCCTCCCTCTGATGGCAGAGCGATCAACACAAGTTGGTAGTAAGATTCTTCTCACTAAGATGATCACTCGATGAGAACAAGGACTGGTTCTTTCCCCTTTGGTCTATCAGTAGTATCTCTTAAAGATGTGTTGATAGGAATACACACAGTTTTGTAGGTTCAGTGGTGAAGAATGAGAGTGTAAATAAGGCTTCCTTGGTGAATTGCACGGTTTGCACCCATCGATCACAAATAAGGCTGCTCATGCTATATATAGAAAAAATAGGTTTATCCTTGAATCGGCCTTTTACCTGGTCAATTATTCCAAATTTCTTGAACACTATTCTTGTAAATGATATTTCATCAAGCTTGAATGAATGAATCAACTCACGGGATTTTTTATCCTCAAAAAAAAGAAAAAAAAAAGAAGGAGATTGCAACAAGGGAGAGGGGTCCTCATGACCTTTATCATATGGGCAGTTTCCTCCTATCAAGGAACTCTCCAAAATATTTGGAGTTTAATCTCTTAACTAGTGAATGACCCCTTACGAGGAATCAGTAATGTTAAATTTATATTTATTAATATTTTAAATAATTATTAAAAATTCAAAAAATATTTATTTCAAAAATAGATTTTCAATAATTATTAGAATATGGATAGTTTTCTTTTGTTATGGTAAATAGATGGTTAATGATTAACTGTGATTGATAGAATGTAGGTAGAAATGATTGTGGATAACCACTTTTACATTTTCTACATTTTTTTAGGAATTGATTGAAAATAGTGGTAATGGGTTGTAGGCTTTAGCAACAACTTCTCAGAAAATATCACGTGTCTAACTTTCCAAAAAAATGAAAAGGCCATGTGTCTAAATGGTGGGGAACTATAGCATAGTAGTATTGTGGGCTTTAGCAAGAATTTCTCAGAAATTGCCATGTGTCTAATTTTCTAGAAAATGAGAAAGCCACTTGCTTGAATGGTGATAGTGGACTATGGACTTTAACATTAACTTCTCAAAAAATGCCATATATCTAAATTTAAAAAAGTCACTATTTGAATGATGAAGATTGTAGCTTGAAAGCCTTCCTCTAATATATATATATTAGATTTCTCTCTTTAAGCTGTCCCATGTTCTCAACCAAATGGGATTAGTTTTGAATTTTAGATGCTCAATTTTTAAACCCCTAAATATAGTGGGGAAATTCTAATCCCAACTATGCCAATAAGCTAAATAAAATGTGTTTTAAGTATAAGAACAACCAAGCCACTTTGCGCTTTTGCATTGTGTCCCTTACCACCAAGTTTCTTACATGGTCTTGAAAACTAATAGGGAACAACCAACCCCTTAGTCATGGAGTCTGCTAACATTGTTGGATGTACAAGTGGATGGGTTAATATAGCACCGTGGTAATGCTACAGATAGGGATGTCTATGAAAAAACTGAAAAACCGAAATCGGTGGATCGATTAATTAGTAGTACTGGTTTGGTTTCGATTTGGAGAAATGGAAAAATTGGTACCACTAATTCGGTTTGCAAAATATACCCATGATTCAGTTAATCGAACCGTGGACACCCCTAGCTACAGGATAATTGCAGCCAAGTATTTGAAGGGGTTGTGGAGGCCTCTGTGATAAAGGCCCCATGGGCATTTATATTTGTAGGGGACAAAACCGCGGTTCACCAATCGTGGATGTATCCTCCTTCGTCTATAAATAGTAAGACTTTTGATGAAGGAAGGGATCAAGTCCCTTTTAGCTTCTTAGTGTTATCTGGAAAATTGATTTTGCCTTAGCTTATTCTTTCTCACATCCCATTCTCTACTTTTCTCTCTCAAAACCAAGATCTCTTTCCCCTTAGTGCCTATTGGATGATCACGGTCTTGTATTTTGTCTCTCACCATCAAGTACTTCAAATCAATGTATTTTCTTTGACTACTAATCTTATTGTTCTTAGAGAATAACACAATTGCTACATTATTGTAGAAAACTTGTATTGATCTATCTATATAATCCAATAGAAGAGCACCCATACTAGCAAGGTTTTTAAAACCAACCCGAATAACGAACCGATGAGGGGTTCAGTTCCCGGGTTGAACAGTCCGACCGTTCAAACCGAATGGTCGGCCCGTTCTGACAAAAAATAAAAATATTTAAAAAAAATAAAAAATGGTCAAAACCATTCGAATGGTTAACCGCCCGGGTCAGCGATTTGCTGACCAAAATTAATGGTTTATGGAGAAAATCCGATTTTGGGGAAAAACAGAACCGATCGATTCCCGGTTTTTCCAATCAGAGTCCGGTCTGGTCCGGTTTTGAAAACCATGCATACTAGTGATGAAAATTTTCAACCATACTCTACTTCCATAACAAAGGAAGTAATTAATTTCTACTTGCTGCCCTCCCAAGAAATGAGACCAAATCAGCCCCCTACAACGTTCCACAGCACATCCCCGTCTTGTATTGAAAACATCTCCCAATGATAATTCTAGAAATGATGATGTCATCATCAAAAAATGTTCCCAATACATGACAAGGACGTGCTGTGGGACGTTGTAGGGGACAATCTTGTGGGGGCTGATTTGAACTCCCAAGAAACAATTCCTACAGCAAGTTGAGAAATGTATCTTAATGTGGACTTTCTAGAATTTGGACAACTGACACAATTAGAATTTAAGTACCCTAGGTTTCAACTTGTTCCCCGTTGGAGAGGATCGTATTTAAAGTAATAAAGTTTTATAAAGTCATTAATTCCATGCACTAGAATCCAACCAATAACCCACTCATTGGAGCTCTTTGAGTTCATAATTAATCATGGATAGTGAATATTCCAAGAAAATATAAAAATGAAAAAGAGAATTGCATCAAAATTCCTTAGGCAAAACCTTGTGATTCAATCTACCTTTTCACAAATAACCCCTAAATAAAAGAGTATTTGATGATGATGATAATGATGATGATAACAATAATAACTTAAAATATGAAGAAATATCCAATGATCATCATAATAGTCCCTCCCAAAACATTAAGAATTGAACCATGGTTCCTTGAGCTTGAATTTGTGCCTTGGGTAATACTTGGATTAGAACTTTTGTCTTGGGAACCCTTTGGACCTGAAGTTGGAACCAAACTTGTATCTTTGGTGTCTTCTGTACCTGAGGTTGGACTTTGACTTGGACTTAAACTTGTGCCAGGTGTTGTAGTTGTGCCTGTTCAATCAATTTCAAAATTGAAAGGGATATGTGAGAGAACCTTTCTTTCAAATTGAAACAATTAATTAAACTACCATCCATTTGTTCTGTACTGAGTCAGTGCTCATTTGTGACCACTTATATGACAAGGCCTGGTCAGAAGTAGCTTATCTCTAAACAAGAAAATTGTTATTAAACAAAAAGTTTCTTTTGTATCTAGGTTAAGAGAGGAAGAAGTATTGTTATTTTTCTTGTTGGAGAGAAAAAAATAAAAAAATTAAGAGAAATTAAAAAGGGTGTTCTTGGTGTGAGAATGGGTTCTTTTTTCTTGTTTTGTTCTTCAAGTTGAAAAAAGAAAATAAGAATGGATGTACAAGAGTTAAAGACTGTTTGTGTTTCAAGGGTGTAGACGAATTGCTTTCATTTGTCCCAAGGGTGTAGACGAATTGCTTTCTTTTTCTTCTTTTATAGTGACAAATTGCTTTCATTTGTCCCATGGGTGTAGACGATAAGGTTGAAACCCATAAATCCTTTGTACTCATAGTAGTCCTTGTTTCTTTGTCTTTTATTTGATTTCATTTATTTTGTTGCTATTGGGTTTTCTTGATTGCTATTTCGCTTCAAGCACTTTTTGATTTTAATTATCTAATGGGAGTGGTTGTTGTAACCCCAATAAAGAGATCTACCAAGAAGGATCCATTCTATATTGGGTATCACCCTTCACTATATGCCCCATATGTTTTACCATTTTAGTCTATCAATATCTTAGTTATGCTAATTGGAATCAACTCTTATAATAAATTAATTCATCGATTAAACCTTAGTTAGCTAGTTATCCAACACATGACAAAAACCCAATACAGGACTTCATTCTTTCTAGGTTCAAATTTTTGATACACCCCAATACGCCAGAAGGGGAGTGATAACTGTAGGCACAATTGATTTGTACAGTGGGTGATAAAGCCACACCTCTTTGTTTTTGTAAAAAGATTTGAATGTTCAGTTAGGTGGTTGACCTGTTAGGAAAAAAATCATCTTGGAACATGTTCTTGTTTAACTTTAACATATTCTTATATCATTTTAAGTGTTTGGAATGAAAGGTTGTAGTTTATGCATAATTTTCATTATACTAAATAAATATATACTATATATAGCCTATCTTATTAGGTCACGTCATCTTTCCTCTCAAGAATTTAAATCTTAAAAGTTTCTCTCTCTCTCTCTCTCTTGTTTCTCATCACCTAAATCATCTCTTCTCCTAAAATTTCTTCTAAACTATAACCACCAACTAAAACAACTCCTATTCTATTTCACATGCCCAATAAACCATCTAATTCTAATGCCGCTTTTCCACTCTCTCTATCTCTCTCTCTCTCTCCATGTCTAGTTCTATATATCTCTATCAATGTATTAAAACTTTAATGTTTCAATTAAAACATTTTTAAATATTGAAATAAGATGAATAAAAAATAACTAAATATTAATAAGAGAAAAAATAGATAATACAATAAGATAAATAATAAAAGTAAAGTAAAAAAATTTAATAATTAATTACAATTATTATTATTATTATTATTATTATTTTAATATTGTCATTATAAAATCTATCTCCATGAGACATTTTGGGCTCCACACACCACTATGTATTGATGTTGAAATTTGGAAAACACAATAGCCAAAAGATGGATCAAGAAAATATAAATTTTTAGTTACCAATTTGAACATATATCTGGATTTATCCAATTTAGTTTGCAATTTTTAGAAAATATGTCTTGAAAATAAATATTAGAACCACTATTAACTAACATGAATTTTGTTAAAATATTAATTAAATTTTGAATAAAATACTTTTGTTCTATTTAAAAAAAAACTATTAAAAATTCACTAATTTTTTTTCTATAAATTATGTGAAAATGTCATTCCTAATTTTCTAAAACTATTTTCTCTAAATATGAATTGTCTCCTTTGTCTTATAGCTCTATTGCATTGAACTTAAGTTTTGGAAGCATTAAGTGGTAGATCAAATAAATTAGTTTGTTTCCTTTGCTTTGCAAATTTCCTAGGAGAAGAAGAAAGGAAAAGAATAAATGAACTACGGGCCCAAAAAGTCTCTACATCAAGAACAGGAATTCATGGGACATTGGGTAATTTGAATACCTAAAAATCATTTGACCCACTAACTTCAATTACCATTTCATGTTAAACCAGGCCCATTTCTTTTGATAAATTCAACCTAGTTATAAAATTTTGAAAATAAAAATAGAAAATAAGAAAAAATTTCACTAAAAATAATTTTATTTTAAAAATGTTATAAAATTAGAAAAATAAGGGAAGTTAATAGAAAAATTATTAACAATTTTATCAATTAATAGATATTGATAAAATAAGGATTTTTTTCTAAAAAATAGAAGATAGCAGTAAATTTTAAAAATTAATTGTTTTAATTAACTGATAAAATATGAGAAATTTTACTAAAAATAGCAAGGATTTTTTAATATATAAAAGTTACATTTATTGAGAAAATACTAAAAATTAGAATGTAAAATAAAATTACAAATAGGGAAAAATTAAAATTCAAAAGACGATTAACTTATTAATTAAATAAATTAAACAACTTAGTTTTATTAAGTTACTCTAAAAATAGTAATGATATTACAAATTTTATAAAAAATTAAATTTAAAATAATTAATAAAAAAACATAATTTAAAATTAAAAACAATAAAAAAAATTCTTAACAAACTTATATAGAAAAAAATATTTTATTCGTCAAAATTGATAAAAATCAATAAAAACATAATTTAATGAAAATATTTTTAATTTAATTTAATAAGAGAGAAACTACCGCTCTCCCTAATCCCTAATAGACTTTTGTTTTTTAATTTATTAAACTATACATAACTCAAGAATATTGCTAATATGGATGGGGTTCAGCTTGGCCAAATTAGAAATGTCCTAAGATTCATGTCTAAATGTCACTTAACAATGCATGCGCATTGCATTTAAGAGTAATAAAATTAATAAAATGTAATAAAAATAGTAAAAATTAAGATAAATAATAAAAATTAATACAAATTTATCTAATAACACGTAACCTAAAAATAGTTTGGGTTGAAAAATTATAATTAAAAATATAGTTTGTATTTTTAATTTTCCCCGTTTAAAAAAATTATAATTGGCATATACAAATATTTAGAAAAATTCAAACCACTGTTTTTGCCAACCTTCAATACCTCACATCATTCAGGTTTTTTATTCTAGCCAAAAATCCCCAATCCTCAAACGTATTAACAGAAGATTGCACTCACCTGCTTTGAAGTTCAAAGATGTAGAGGTCTTTGACTGGTGCTCTGACATTAGATAGCTCGGTGAAGATGGCAATCTACTTCTGGGCCCAACAGCGTAAATCAGATTAGATTTTGGTCGATCAGTGTTCAATTGGAAGGCAAGGTACAGACGTGATGACTGAGATATGATGGTCATGTTTGCAACTTTTAGGTCCCCTGAATCTGGGCTGCAGTCCTGTGAGCCCGTCCCTCCTAAATAGTACTGCTTGATTACTCCGGCGGCACGGTCACCTGCCGGAAACCAGCCGACGATTGAACTAGACCCCACCATACTCCCATCAGGCGAGAACCCAATTGCAACATATGAATTTGAGTCCGGTGTTGAGAGAATGAAATTCCATAAGCTTGGTCCACGCTGTTCATACTGAGAAGTTCACCCATGCATGTCACATTACAATATAGCAATCTGAATATGAGATGAGAACAGCATTAAGTGATAGTGAGAAAACTTACTCTAAGGATGAAGTCTTGAGAACTCCAGACGAGTTGGCAATTGAGAGTTGTTGTGTCAAAGGGAATACCAGAAAGGGTGAGAGTAGAACCACAAGAATCTGACTGACAACTAATAGTACTGAAAGCAAAGCCCAGGAATAAGCAAAAGAAAACTGTGGTAACCAAAGAGACCTTCATCTTCAATTCAACTCTTTTAGTTGTTTTGGATGAGCTCTGGATGAAGAAAGTAATGGATTTATATATCAAATTAGTGAACTGGTTTCAATATAAGAAGAGCTAGAGGCCATGTGATGATGTGAGGAAAATCCAGTAGGCTGAAGGTTCTTCCATTCTGTAATGTCGACATTGAATAATTAACATACATGCAAAAATCGATCAGATATATTTTGTTAACCAACCCATCACAAATTCACAATGTGAGGTAGCTAAAGCATTGACCAATGCAGAGTGCCACCGGCTTGCATCCTTAAAACCTAACAAAACCTAACTTCAGCTGCCACCGGCTTGCAGTATAAAAATTAATGAATTTAGAAATCAAATGTGATCAAGTTGAAAAATGAGGAAAGAATCTCTAAAGCCTCAATTCCTTTTCGGGAAGTTATTTATCCAGGTAAATGTATCTGGATAAGTATTTCCTAGAAAATATTTATCAGGATAAATGCACTTATTCATGTTCTTTAATTTCTCAGGTAAACAAGACAATGGCCATTTTAGCCATAAAAAACTATTATTGAAAGGGGCAATTTTATTCCATCAAGTATTGACAACTTTTTCCTCCAGTGACAAAGTTACTTATCCACCTAAGAGTTAGGTATCTTCAACCCACCTAAGAAAAATAAATTAATTTTTCCCAAACCCTACATAAATCTAAAAGAAGAACATGAATATCTTGATCAATAAGAACCAAAATCTCATTGACCAAAACTTTCACCCCTCACAAATTCAAAAGACAAACAGGACCCTAAGTAGAGACATACCCATTGAATTGAATAACAGAAACAACCACCCATTCATTCATAAAAGCTCCTGTAAATTGTATTAATATGACAAATGGTTTGGTTTTAGATATTCCTCTGCTGGACGGTTCAGTTTTAGGCATAGAGAGAGATGAATAGATTGGTTGGAATCTTAAATTTTTAATGCATGAACGGTTGCTGGATGCTGAGTGTGGTGCCGAAGACTTTTAAACTACAACATAAGCTATAAACAAAACTCATGCAATATCTCCTAATTGTTTAGTCTATGTGAGAGAAAGAACGTGGATGCAACACGCCTTGTGATAGTATATTGAATGTCTTGGCACATGGACAGCACAAGTCAATTATAAAGTATTGACAACACCCAACCCAACTGCCCATTAAAAAAGACCGAAGTTTTTAATGGACTTGCAAGCATTTAACAAGGATTTCTAATGCAGTTGCTGAAACCTCCCGCACTGAACTTTTTATACAGTCGCAAGTAAATCCTTTTTGGTAGAATCTTCTAAAAAAAGAATAAATGCCCAAAATACCCAAATAATTAATATTGAAGCTGGTTTTTATGAAAAAAAAAACAATTCAAACTTTACGAACAACAAAAATAAAGAGAATTAAAAGTTGCAGTTAGGAGTAGTAATTGGGCGGGTTGGGTTGGGTTTGGTTTGGGTTGAGTTTCAATCCAATCCATCTAACCCGCTAACTCATTAATGACCCAGTTATATAAAATTAAATGAGTTGGGTTCAATCCAAACCTGCTTTAACCCAATCCAACCCGCCCAAACCCATTAATCTTATATTGATGGACTTAAAAAGCAAACTAACTCTCTCTTAATAAATAAGTTGGTTATAGCTTTGTGGTTATTGTGGTTACTATTTACATAACTGGTGAAGGTTCAAATCACATTACATGCATGTTATTTTTACACAAGCGGCGAAGCCATTTGACTATGTTCGGATTTCGGGTTTGATCGAATCACTTAGGTTCAAAGGTGGTTGAACCGTTTAGATCTGGATCGATCCAGTTAGACCGGACCAGTTTGATCAATGGTGGATTGACTTAGGCCGGACCATATTAGGTTTGTGCACGGGTTCAGGATTGGACCGGCTGACCCGAGCCGGGTCAACGTTACTAACTTGTGTGGATATTGGTCAGTCAGACGGTCTAGATCGGGCAAAGCACATGGAGGCCGAATCATCCCGCCCAAAACCATTCAGGTCGACTTGTACCAAGTTGGGTCAGACTATGTGGATATTGGTTGGACCAGACGGCCCAAATCAGACAAAGCAAGCGACACCAAACCATCCCGCTTGGGGTCTATTTCAGATTTGGGTCAACTCAAATCAGTATATACTAGATCGGGTCAGACCGCGTTGAACTGGCCTAAACTCAGGTCAAATTGATTTGGATTTATGTTGGGTGAAATGTATTGATTCAAGACAAAACTAAATTTAGTCAATAACTAATAGAAAATTAATGCATTAATTATAAATTATTTAATTCAAATGAAGAAAATTAAAAAATAAAGGCTAAGGAATTAATACTTATGTCTATAATGGTTAACCCAATGGATATCCACAACCCAACCCATTTAAATGGGTGGATTGGGTGATGGGTTGATCACACAACCCGTCAAGTAAATGGGCAGATTGGATGGGTTAAATACTGGGTGGGTTGGGTGGGTTCAGCGGGTTGGGTTAAAAATTGCCACCCCTAGTTGCAGTTTTACCTTTGAGTGATTGATATGAAGGACAAATTTGAAAAATAAAACAATTTCAGAAAATAGATTGGAAGAGTTTGGGGTAGTGATTCCTATGAAGAGAAAATTTGGAAAATAAACATTTTTGTTAAAAGTAACTGCATGGATATTTTGGACATTTTTATGCCTCCTTTTATAAGATTCTATTAAAGAGGATCTACTTGCAATTATATGTAAAAGTTCAAAGAAGGTAATTACAATTACCAAACTTCAAAGATTTCATCAACCAAAAATTTCAAGGGAGGTTTCAGCAATTTACCCTATTTTAAATGGGATGATGGTTGTTACTATCCCTTTCATGATTTTAACTATGCACAAAGTAATTGGTAGGGCCTATAACTGGGCCAACATGATATTTCTTATGAGGCCCATATGATATATTCAATGCGAACAAGGATTAGCTAAAGGCAATGCATGGCTGTTTAACAAGCTGTGGAACCATGATACAGTTCCACACTAATAATAAAATACATGAAACCTGTGGGGCCTATGATTTTATTATTGACGTCAAATATTATCATTAGTTGGACAGCCCGCTGAGCAGCCATCGTGTTCAGCCAATCCGAATTTGGAACATGCATGGTGTTAATATGTATAATCGACATGATTTTTCTAGATCTTTTTGTGTGGGTCCATTTGTTGTTTTGAACATATGTATGAATCGCATAGTAGGAAGCATAGTGAAGAAAATCCAATCTTGGAACAAAATTTGAATACGTTTGTAACCAGATTTGTTATTCCTACTTCCTAGATACCTGATGTAAAATTTTCAATTCTCGTCTGAATTGCAAATTTTACATTCCCAAAAGTTGATGCAGATTTTGTACCACCTTCTTTCTTGGTTCTCACTCATATAAGCTAGGGATTACTTTAATCTATATCCCCATTTTATTACTTCTCCCAAACAACCAACCTTCCTCCTTTCATTTTTTTTCTAAGGCTATGTTTATTTTATGAATTTTGAGAGAGGAAAAATTTAGTCAATGAGATTTTGGTTCTAATTGATCAAGATATACATATTCTTTTTTAAGATTTGTGTGAGGTATACGAAAAAATTATTTTCCTTGGATATCACTTATCCAAGTAAATGATACTCATCTCCCAAATGGGTAATTAATTTTTCCATATAAGAGAAAAGTTGCAAACACTTTGATGGAACAAAGTTGCTCCTTTTAGTAATGGCTTTTTATAACTAAACTGGTCATTGTCTTATTTATCTGGGAAATAAAATAAGATGGATTAACTTCCTGAAAAGCGAACGGGGCCTATAATTAAATTATATATGAAGATCGAGAGCTTAACGGGTATAATTACTTTGACCTACATGTCCCTTCACCCTTGCCTTAAAAATTATCCGGGCCATGTGCAAACCTAATCTGTAGCTCATGGGGATGGACCATATAGAGGAGATCCTCAAGATCATGTTCATGATGATCATAAACTGAATCATAATTATAATTAGAACATTGGATCCCTTCAGATGTACTGTTTCCAATTCACTAACAACCATTGAAGTACAAAACAGAAATAGATAGACAGAGAAAATAATTAAAGACAGATGGAGACATTTATCCAATGATCATAAGAAGGACCCATCCCAAAATGCTTAAAGCCGCAAGAGTATTCCTTGCACCCGAGCTTGTGTCTTGGGTATTGCTTGTACCCAAACCACCTGTGTCCTGGGTATCATCACCTGGACTCAAATCTGTGACTTGCGTTGTACTCGAAGTTGTTGTACTCTTGCCTGTCAAAAACAACCCAACAACACATACAAATGATGGTGAGTTAGATGAAGAGTCGATCGTCTCAAACTGGAACTTGGATAGTTTATGACTGTTTGTATTTATTTAAGGCTCAGTATGGAAAGACTACAATTACAAATACGTACAGTGCAAATACAGGTTTAGAATACAAAATACTTATTTGTATTTGCACTCTTTCCAAACTAAGCCAAAAGCTCAAAAGAAGAATAGTATGTTGCTTTGATCAGTGACCAATTATATATCATATCAGACCCTAATTAACCGATCTACTATATATGTGACAAGAAACGCCATTAGATGATTGAAACCATCTGACCCACCAAAAAATGCAGAAGAAAAGAAAATGGAGAAATGTGAAATCATTTTTTATGCAAATCCTTCCTTTGTCATTGCACTCACCTGAGACAAAAATCAAAGATGCTGTGGTCTTTGATTGGTGCTGTGACAAGAGATAGTCAGGAGAAGATGGTAAGCTACTTTCTGGCCCAACAGCATAGATCAGATTAGACTTGGGTTGATCAATGTTTAGTTGGAAGCAGAGGTATAAACGAGATGACAGAGATAGAATGGTCATATTTGCAACTTTCAGGTCCCCAGAATCAGGAGTGCAAGAATTTGAATCCATCCCTCCTAGATAGTACTGCTTAATTACTGCATTGCCGTCACTGGGAACCCACCCAACAATCGAACTAGATCCAACCATGTTTCCATCAGGAGAGAACCCAATTGCAACATATGAGTTTGTGTTAGGAGCCGAGAGAATGAAATTCCATAGGCTGGGTCCCTGCTGTTCATACTGTAAAAGTGTCCAACAACGTTATATAATGTAAATATAAGAATGTACATGACAGGAGTGACCATAACTGACAAATACAAAACTTACTCTAAGGATGTAATCTTGGGAACTCCACACAGATTGGCAATTGAGAGAAGTTGTGTCAAAGGGAATACCAGCAATATTGAGATTAGAACTGCAGGAATCTGATTGTGAATTCACCAATAAGGAAGAAAAACCAATGAAGCAGAATAAGAAGAACTTGGAAACCAAAGGAGTCTTCATCCCCATCTCTTTTGTTTCTTCTCTCCTCCTGATCAGTCTGGACTTTGGAAGATTACTTTTCCTGATTCCCAAACAATGGATTGTGTTCAATTTAAAGAAGCTAGATGCACTGGTAATCTTCCATTGACCCAAGGAGACCACTTTCCAATACCAACTTCCACAGAGAGCATTAGAGCAAGTGGTCTGTGATTGTTTGAACTGTTGAAACCTAATATGTTTCTAAAGCCACAATTGGATCTTGTTTTGTTTATTCTATTTAAAAGTTATAGAAGGACTGATAAGTGTGGGCACACCAAACCAACTATACCAGCTGCCTAAGCATTGCCTTGGTTTATGTATGTTATAACATCAACTTCATCTCCTGCCAAACATCAACAACTAATGATGCATCTCACATGGGGCCCTTGTATCTTTTATATATAATAATACACAGGGAAAGATTCTTCATAGTTGAGCAATCCATCTTCTGTTGTTGACCTACTTATTCAGAAGAATGGGTTAGTCAATTCAGACTGCTTCTGAGATGGGTGGCCTTCTGGCCTTCTGGGGTTTGCTATTGTCTAGCTAGGACCCATATCTGTACAAATACTGACTTGTATTTAACTCTTTCAATGTATCCTGGTTGGTTAGAGACTTAGAGTCTTATATATGTATATGTATAGGACCCATTGAACAGTAATATGAAAATGGCAAAGAGCTTTCCTACATCAAGTTAATTAATAACTTGTTTCAGCCATGTGGAGGATTGTTTGGCCGATCCAGACCATTAGATAGGGGACCCATTGATTCACCACGTATTAAATTGATCCTTATTGAGCAAATTTAATTCGATATTAATTTATTCTTTATTGAAGTATTTAAGTGGTTTCTGTTTCTCAGTAAATATATAGTTCATATGCCTTTACAAAATTTAAGCTTTCTTCATCAATCGTAATCGTCAACCAAGGAATTGTTTGATTTTACTATGCCAAAAGCATATTTGTTCATTTTAGTTCTTTAATTGTGTCACACAATTCTAAATTACTATGTTTTGAAAACTCCAGAAGACCACACAAAAAGATTTGACAAACGCCCCCTAAATTATCCATTTTTCCTTCTTCAAATCACAAATTTTAGCCAGTAGATAGAGTTTTTATAACAGTGATGATTATGCTTCATGTGATATCTGACCCATTTACATAAAATCAGCAACTGATTATAGAAAGCTAATTTCATTCCATAAGAAACCAACCAAATCCACTACGTTTCTACCCACACTGGCCATGAATTGCAATCATACATCACCATCTTGTATTGTGAGATGTTGCAGTTGCAGTGTATTGTATTGTGGGTAGGTTGTAAGCAGAGAAAAGTGAATAGGAAATCTGAGTTTGAAACCAATTGCTGACCACTACTATTTGTTTACATAAAAAGTTCACTCCAAATTATCTGTAAAAAACCGGTGTTTATGAAATCGGACTGGACCGGTTAGTCAGACAAGTTGAATCGTGACCTAAGACCCTGGCCGGTTCGGCCACACCCCAATAACTGTATTTGCACTGGTGAAAACTGACTGACTGGAAAATTAATGAATCAATATCAGTTCCATGAAACCACCCGAGTTCTTAAATAATTGAAATTTTAAAACATGTTTAACAAAATTTGAACTCATGACCTCTTATTTTCATCTATTATTTAATTACTAGTAGTTCACCTCTTTACTTATGTTAATTAATGACTCTTTATTGTACATAGTATTTTATTACACATATTTTAAAAAAAAATGTAAATTAAGAGAGTTAAAACTTAATCATTTGATTTAAAATTTAAGAAACTTATCATCCATTTACTATATTGAAATACATTAAAAATTGTAAAATATATTATATATAGTATTTATTTGACCTATAGTATATATATGTATATTATCACGACCCCGATTAACCCTCTTACCCATAAACCTCTTCTCTGGTTCAATTCTCT